CCCGTTACTAGCGTGGTGTACCTAATAAAGTGGCCGGTGAGTGTATAAGAATCTGGTTAAAACATCCCTGAATTTAACCAGAGTCATGAAGAAATTTGCTTCTCAGTAACCGAAGAGCAAAATTTATGTACTAAAAATAAAACACATTGTAATGACATTGTAATACTGTTTTATTATTGTCATTTGTTTAATAAATACACTGGCGTGATACAACTTAGTACATGTTTGACTGCTTTTTGGGATACGTCTATTTTGGAGTTGTAGCCCCACCTGGAGAAAATTCCACCAGCCGCCACTGAATATCAGTAATATTTCTGATATTAATAATAATACTCTGTTCATCATTCTGGTTTATCCAAGGCCAAAGATCCATAGGGCCAAACTACAGGAGTTGTCCCTCTGAGGGGCATGTGTCTAAAAAAAATAAAAAATTAACCACGAAATGTTTAATATGTTTAAAAGACGTTCAGCTCTTAAACATTTGCACTTAGAATTTTATAGAATCACTTTAAATACTTTTCAGTAAGTTAAATGTCTACAATTCTGGTTCAAATAAAGAACTTTATGTTTACTAGGTTGTTAACTAATTATTTTTGAGTTAATGTTGCCTTAATGAACAGTGATTAAAAAATAACCTGTAAAACTCTGATGTGACGTGGTTGAAAATTTGGGTGCGCCTAACTTCTGTGCTGGTGCACCTAAGAAAAAATGTTAGGCGCACCAGTGCAACCAGTGCAAAAAGTTAATCTAGAGCCCTGGTTTATYTAATAAAAATGTCAAAAGCATCTTGTGACCTGTGAGAACACAGAGTTTATTTATTTAAAAATACTTTTTTTTTCATTTCCTGAAGTGATTTGTTTTTGGTGATACAAAGGTTCTGCACAACACTGAGGCAGTGTTTGAAGTTGTTAGCACTGTTATAAAATATACATTCAGTTTTATCCCTAGATGTTCAAACAAATCTTTCCCAACCAGCACAGTTTACAAAATCAGCCTTCTTTCTGAAAGAGAACATGGGAATGTTTTATTTTTTATACTCTCTTATTTTGTCCTCAGCTGACAAGTTAAACTCTCCAGAGCTGCCTTCTCTTTGCGCTCCGGGGTTGAAGATGAAAAAGGCAAACGGTTTCACACCGGAGCCAAACAAAGGTGAGCCAGCATGTCCAGGTCRCCCTGGAAGTTCACCGTCCACTCCTGAGGTTCCTCCGTTTCAAACACCGTATTTAAAACGACTTGGTGGCACCAAAAAGGTACGAATCTATTTGAGCAATGCTTTGTTTTTTAAAWTTTTTCAATTGTTTGATTCAGTTTTCAAGAATTGTTTTCACCTTTTGTTTGAATAAAAAAAAACTACTTTTTTTTATAACACGTGTCTAGAGTGAGCAGCCTGAGCCCATCAACATGCAGTCTGATGAAGACAACTACATCTTCCATCTTGAAACACCTTGTAATGGTTCAACAAAACACAAGTGGGAGTACAAAGTGCCAGAAATGACTATCTTTGGTGTGGAGGACAAGCAGATGCCGGAGATTCCTCAGTTGCAGTCTTCTCTGGGACATTATTTACAAATTGTAAGTCCTAAGAGAAGTGTTTTCTCTAATATTTACTGAACTTATAGAACAACCTTTTTTTAACTAAAAGTTTTATTTGACATTAAAAAAATCAAAGTATCAAATAAGTTCTGAATGTAGAAAAAAAAGGTACCCAATTAGAGAAAAAAAACTTATTTTACAAAGTCCTGTACTAGGCCACATTCACACTGCTGATCTTAATGCACAATTTAGATTATTTTTCTCCCCCAATTTAATTACCGGTACATTTTTTTTGTTTTTTTGCTGCAATGCCATTTTTGTGTGGTTGTGCGACCACCATCAGACTGCAGTGTGAACAGTCTGCAGCACTAAAGTGATGCCACTCAGCCCATTGATCCCTCTGTAATTGAGTCCGAAATTCTTTTATTTTTCTTTCATTTTTTTTAACCAGGTAAAACCCCATTGAGATCCAGATCTCATTTGCAAGAGGGACCTGGACAGAAGTCTGCAACACACAACGACCTGGTTACACAAAAATAAAACAAATTAAACAATGTACACAAGTTCAAACAAATTACAGTTTCAAAGCAATCACTTTGCTTTCCTTGATTCCAGTGAAATAAGATCCAACATCTTGAGTTCAGACTGGAGCTGGTTCCATAGGAGCCATAACACTGAATACTTGCTTCCCTTTTTCTGTTTGAACATGTGCAACATGCGAAGAACGATGTTGGAGCGTAAGGAACGAGCAGTAACAACATGTTTTAGGAGAGAGTTTAAATAAGTCAGTGCCAAGCTGAGTAGACTTTTATAAATCAGACTGTAATCTCTGTACGCTCAAAGGAGGCTATTCAGCTTTTACATATGACTCAGAATGATGTGTAAGACGTCTGCTTTCTGTTACAAACCTTAAAGCACAATGATACAGTATTCAGGGATTGGGTCGACATATTTGTATAAAAAACATCTACATAAACGTAGGAGTGATAGGAAAGTTGCTGAAACCAATTTTCTTCTAGCTTTGAGAGAAAAACACGATCCGTTAAAACCCAATCGTCATTCTCGGTGTTCGTAACACGTTTGCTATGTGCTTTTTAAAAGAAAGCTCTCTATCTAAAATAAAACCAAGGTGTTTATAACTAGAGAAATTGCATTTCCTGTGAAAATGCTAATGTGAGTGCTTCTTGCTGAAAAATTAAGCTGAACGCTGTTGAAATTGAGCTGAATATATTTAATAGTGAAAATGTTATTGTGAGTTCAAATGTGAAAAACTGAAAGAAGCAACAAAAAAAGCCTAACTTTGCAGAAAAACGGTAAAAAAGAGCAAAAATGCAGTTAATAAAGCAGAAAACAGCTAAAAGCTAAAATGGCTGAATATAGAAGAGAACATCTGTAAGAAGCATAAATAACAAATTCACAGAGAAAAACACAAAACATAGAAACAAGCAGAAGAATAGCAAAAAGAAGCAGATCTATAGTTAAAATAGCAAAAAAGAAGCTAAATTTAGCATAAAATAAGCTAAATAAAAGTAATAGCCACAAGTTGTAATTAGCACCCAAATAATGAAAGTGTTATAAAAAATTAAAATTAGCAGAAAAATGCAGAAACATACAAAAAAGTGACAATTAAAATAGCTAACAGCCAAAATGTTCAGTAAAAAAGCTAAAAGGTAGATTAGTAAATTCTTTAATTAGCATAAGGAGCACAAGGTTGCTGAACTTAACAGAAAAAAGTAATAACAGTGTAAAAAAATGTGTTTAGTTTAAAATGGCTAAATTTGGCTAATAACAGCTGAACATTAGCTAAAGTTGCAGCAAATAGCTAAAAATAGCAGAAGATATAAGAAGCAGAATTGGCACAAATTAGCAGAAAAAAATCAGAAGAATCAAAAGCTACAGTAGCAAGAAAGTAGCTAAAATTAGCACAAGGAAGTTACAAAGAGCAGAATCCGAACATAATGTGTAAGGAGCTGTGAAAATTTAGAAACATTTTAAAGGATTTATCCAAGTCTGAACTTGACAACAGACTCGTGAGACTCCGACTTGTTTCCTGTCACCAACACAATTTAAGGACATTAAAATAATGATTGTTAAAAAGATCTAGGCGTTGTAAATTTGTCTAGCAGTAAAACAAAGGAAAGAAGTTTGAGTTGAAGGAGTTGATGGGTAATGTTCACGTCTGAACAACAGTGATGTGTGACAGATGTAAGAGGATGGACTGACTGTACGCTCACTGTTTACTGCAGAGCTTGTGAATGACCCAGAAAGATGTTGAAAATATGATGACTCGCTGCTCAGAAGCAATAAAACTTTATTTAAGTTTGATGAAAGAATAAAAAAAAACCTTAAAATAATACAATATGTAGCTTATCAGTCTAAGTCCAGTCTACAGTAAATCCTATGATGCTTTCTATTTTTGTGTGAAGTTTATTTAGAGCAGGACTTCTGTCCAGAGATATTCAATAAATGGTTGTACTGAAACATAAAAAATATAACAAACTGACTAAAAATGTTGATTTTTTTCAGTCTTGGAAAAGTTGTCATTTTAATGAAAACTTTATAGAAACCCTGAATATTAGCTAAATTTGCCCTAATTCTTGTAATTGCATTTGATTCTAAAGTGGTGAAAACTAGTTCTTTAAAACCGCATTCAAAATGTTAACAAAAAAATTACACTTTTCTGTTGTTGTTTTCTTGGATTTTCATTTGTGTGTTCATCTACAGAAAAATAAAAACACAATGAACATGTGTGAGAATGGCAGAGAAGGAAAGGACACCAGTCTGGAACTGGATGGACCCGACCACGAGTTCAGCCTGGGAACACCTCGCATCAGAAGCATCTACCAGGAACCGAGCACCCCTGAAATGCCGGACCTCAGCTCCGTTACCCAGGACATCTGTAAAGTATGTGTTCATCCCAAAAAACCAAGCCTACCGTGGATCAATATTCATGTAATATTTTGCACTCAGATCTTTTAAAACCTAACTCACGGTTCAGCTATGGGTTGTTTTCCTCTCCGCTGTCACCACTGTGCTGCTCAGRATGAGTGAAGATTCAACACAATCTGCTGGTTTCTTTAGATTTAGTGATTTTTGTGTGCAGTGCCCTGAGACGTTTGTTGTGACTGGGCGCTACAGAAATAAACTGAATTGAATGATTTAAAGATTTAAAACCATAACATGTCTCAAAACATGTAGATATTTAAAGGGTTAGTTTCTCTGTAACCTCAGAAGCTATTTCCTCCTCAGCCATTCTCATGTAAAGTTCCTCAAGGATCCATTATCGGTCCCATTTTATTTAAGATTCTCCCATTTTCTCTTTTTTTAGGCAACTCTTCATTCTTACACAACAGTCAGATCTACCTTTGGTTGAGGAGCAATAATGGAAAAATACTTCGTTTTAAGTCAGTAATTCATGACCTACAGTGGTGGGCAGCGCTAATCCAAAAATTAGCTCCGCAATTTCTAAAGCACTTATGAAAATATTTAGGTCAGGAAACTATCTTCCCTTCAAAATAAGAGCTTTGATTTTAAAATTTTTCATGTAGTTGCTCCTGTTGACCACTAGATGTCTGTCCTACCCCGTTGGCCGATTGCTTCGATCAATTATGTCAAGTGTTGAGCTCCAGCGTTTACTAACTTTATTTTATTTAATTTTTTTAACCGTAACTTTCTTATTTTTTTAAAAAGGAGCTCCTATTGTAAAGTAAAATAAATCAATACATACAACATTTTAGTATGGATTACAAACGTTAACTGTTTTTGCTATTGCCTTTCTGCCACGTAAGCAGACACAAAGCATTGTGGGAAATCAGAACCGTGACCGAAAGCAACAGTCAGCGAGGATGTATACCTTCACAACGTGTGTGTTTTTCTGGGAGGGGTGCTGTTGGATAGATCATGTGTTGTGATTCATTGACAGTTATACCTTCTGCTGTTCAAGATAATGATGACTGGTAGATAATTAGTTATTAGCGGTACTGCATTTCAGTTTTAGAAAACGCAAATTCGCTTATGAATTATATAAATTAGTAAGACCGCTAAAACGCAAATGAAATATTTAGGTCCGCAATTAGCGGATTTGCGCTTTAGCGGACTGGTGCCCACCACTGATGACCTAYATTAATAACCACACTGTTTGGTGGTAAGTAGAACGATTTTAGCCAGAACAAGGTTTCCTAACAGCAATCACTCTTAGATATCACTTGTATTTATATTTGTGTTTTCCCTTGACCCAGCACGGCCCTTGCTTTATTCAGATGACCTAATGGTGTTTGTTAAACTGTATTTATAGGAGGCCTGCTAACATCCTCAGGGAAGCAGGGGTTAGTACAGATTTTGACAGACAGCCTGGTGTTTCTGTGTTAACTTCTGTTTTCTTGTTTATTGCCACAAACAAACTCAGACGACCCTTCTACAAAGTGCCTTTATTGTTTGAATTGTGTATTTCTGTTCCCTGTTAAATAAATATTTCCACAACAGTCATTTGTCTTTAAAACTACTGTTTGTCTCACTAAGACCCTCTGACCTCCATGCTCCCCCCACATCCCTTAGATCTAATGATCGCTTACTTTTAGTCGCCCTGAGGTCCAGGCTGGTTCACTTTAACTCTTGTTGTTTTGAACTCTTAATTACATTACATTTTTACTTTTCCTACAGCTCAAGAGTTTAAATTTTTGCTGGTTTTGTTTTATGTTTGATCTTATCATTTTAACTGTCTTTTGTTTTTGGTTCTGTCTGTTTGCTTTTTGTTTTGTGTGTGCACCACTTTAATCAGTGATCGTTGTTGTTTTTAAATGTGCTATACAAATACTTTTGATTAGATTTTAGTTTGACAAACAATTCAWAGCATCAAAACCAAATCCATATGAAATGTCTGACCGACTTTTGTCTCTTCTTTCGTAGCTTCTGTTCCAGGCTCAGAAGAAAAAGACAACGGCTGCATCCCAGCAGACTCACGTCACGACAGACAACAACAGAGAGTGGTAAACAAGCTTTCCTCCTGCCAGTTCAGTTAAATAAAATCTAAATATTAAGAGGAGCAACAAATAAATCAAGATTTTTTTTAACATCATGTGAGTCTCCAGTGGTGGACACCAGCYCGCTAAAGCGCAAATCTGCTAATTGTGGACCTAAATATTTCGTTTGTGTTTTAGCGGTCTTACTAATTTTTATAATTCATTAGCGGATTTGCGCTTTCTAAAATAAAAATGCAGTACAGCTAATAACTAATTATCTACCAGTCATCATTATCTTGAACAGTGGAAGGAATGGCTGTCAATGAATCACAACACGTGATCTATCCAACAGCACCCCTCCCAGATAAACACACACGTTGAGAAGGTATACATCCTTGCTGACTGTTGGTTTCGGTCAGGGTTCAGATTTCCCACAATGCTTTGTGTCTGCTTACGTAGCAGGAAGGCAATAGCAAAAACAGTTAATGTTTGTAATTAGGGATGGGTACCTTTGGCATTTGAATTGATTCGGTACCAATATCCGGTACCTGGGAATCGGCACCGGTACTTAACGGTACCAATTTTCGGTACTTTGTATGTGTTTTTGTTAAAATAATAAACTTTTTTTTTACATATTTCTCAATATATAAAAGTAACAAATATCAAGACAACATCCAACTCTTTGTATTGTAA